GTTTTTAACAGAAGCCCTGCGTGAAAATTGCCTTGTTATACGAATAATTCTTTTGTGCTGTGGTAGAGACCAGATTTACCCTAATGTGAATACATTTTTAAATTCTGTTTATATCAGCAGACTGTGATATGGATGATTATTTAGAGTTCACCGTGGAGAATAAATGGCAAGAAAATACAATAAAGTTCATTCTTAAGCCAGCACCTTAAGCCTGCAACATCTGAGCTGTTTCTGAGTTACAGAAAGGAAATGATGAAGAACAAAGTCCATCACAAAGAGTATTGTGTCATCAAGAGATTTCATGTCTCATTTATAAAATATATAATGTTCCCTGTCCACAAAGCAGACATTTTCTAATGCATTCACTTTGAGGTTGGTTTTGTTTTTGATCTGTTTCTGTTGTTCAAATACCCAGTTAGTGTGGATAAAAAGCCACAATGGAGAAAGAAAAATAAACATGCATTTTAAAATTTTGACAGCCTTAGGGTAAAGAAAGCCTCAATGTGCTAAAATCCATATTTTTAGAATAACAGTTTGAGACAGACACGGGATGGATTTTTGTGTGTTTTAGAGGTAAACTGCCCCCAAAAGTTTGTTCTGCAGTTTATTTTCCCTTGTGCTCAAATCACACATTTCGATGAAACAACACGCAGCTTTAATGACATTGGCACTGCAGATGGATAACACTCAGATGTCAAAGGAATCGAGATGTACTGCCTCGTGTCACAGATACCATCTGCCCCTATGTGACAGAGTATCAGGGCCCGGGTGAAACAGGTTCTGAACTTGCAACTAAAGTCATTTCTCCATGTTGCAGAATCAAAAACATTTTTTGAGGTAAATAAACACATATTTATAAAAACAATATCATCATATTTAAAATGTAGCTCTAATAAAGAGTTGTGCTGTACTACAGATTTAAATGCTTAGGTGCTTGCAACTATACAAAATATTTCTCAAATTAATTCAGACAAATTGCATACAACTTATCTACAAAAACAAAAATAAGTTATCCATGTAGCATATCTTCAATTTTCCAGCCTTACACTGGAATAAAAGTTTCATTCTGGCCTTGAAATTGGGGCATTGTGAGGCGATCCTTTTCTGGTTCTTTTAAAACCTGATGTCCTCACACCTCATGTGCCATGTTCCAACTATTTGGCTTACACAGATTAGATATGGCTGTAAATAAGCAATAACAGAACCATAGCCAGAAATGAGTGCCAACAGCACTCTGGCAAAGGGGGGGGGGGGGGAATGCTTCGTACCTCTGGATGACTTCTGCTGACTCCTGCTCCCTCTCTCTCCTTTTTCTCTGCACAAATCCCCGGAAAGCCCTGCCATGATGTGGCACAGTATTAAAGGGATGAGAGAGGGAGAATGCTGGCATAGTGAGGGGTAGGACAGTGCAGGGAGGCTGATGCCACGGCTTTGAGCTGCAGGGGTTTTTGGGCTATAAAGAGGATGCTGTTGTAGGTAGACAGCAGATAGCTTTGACTAAAAAGACCAGCAAGTTAAATAACCCCATGTGCCAGTTTGCATCTATAATAATCCATCATCCCATAGAAATGAGTAGCTTGTCACCTTAAGTGACTTTTCAAGTGTTACACTTTTCAATTCTTAAAGAAATAGTTTGTTTTGGGGGGAATTTTATACTTTTTTTTCTTTTTATACCATCCCAGAATCAGTCCCGCTTTACTTCTAGTGCACCCTTCTTTGCATTTTAATGTCACGTTGAGTTTGGAGTATACACTATACTTCAATCAGCTCTTGCAGGTATGTGAACTCAAGAAGCAGCTACACTCAAATACATGCACGTTCTTCAGTACTTTGGGTATTTATTCACAGCATGAGGTACATCAATTTTTAATGGAAACATTTCTTGACATTAAAACTATCTTCCCCTAGCAAGACTTCTTAGAAAAGATGGATTTTTCTTTTTGCGGAGGCCTGCCATTTGTTCATATGAACTACTGAGAAACTTGAGTGTGTTCTGACTAGCAGAAAGTCATACCACTGGGCTCACACTGGACTTCCATGTGTCAAAGTACAAACATGGTGTGAAATGCACCACTTTCAATGTGCGATTATGTCTTCAACAGTCTTAATTGTCATTTGAAAGTGTGACTCAACAATTCTGTGAAACTGATTAACATTTGTCCAAATCAGAGTTTTAGCTAGACTACCTTTAACCAGTGATACCCCACTGTGGGCACTTCACATTCTGCTCGAGTAAATAGAAATGAATGAGTAAAATTGCCCATTTAATGAAGAGGTGCGGCTTTACTTTCTATGTTTGGGAAAGAAATCCCATTTTAAGAAAACAAAAAAACAAACCCCCAAACAATATTGTGTTAATCCACTTCCACCAGACTGGCACTTCATGGCACCTCAGCCATAAAACTGGTCAGAAGTATCTCCAAATTTAGCTAGTTTACCTAGTCAAGTATTGATAATACAAAACAACAGAGTTGATCTTGGATATGTTATTTACAGGTTTTTAGAAATAGCATAGAGTCACATGAAAATTTAAGTTTTCAAAGGTCTCTATGCTGCCCTTTTAAAAGCTAAGTACACCCCAATGATTCAATAGCTTGTAGAGCTGCAATGACTCAAAGGAGTTGTGGAGGAATTTTGGCCCGTTCTTCTTTGCAAGGTTGCTTTAGTTCATTATGGTTACCAGCCATTTGTTTTTGCACAGCTCTCTAAAGTGCTACCACAACATTGCTACTTACTTTGCCTGGGATGATTATCTTGTTACATGAACTAAATTTGGCTAAGGTTTAGCTCTAGGACACGTGGCCTAACATCTAGAACACTGGTTTACTGATGAGTTCATGGTCAACTCAGTGAGTGCAAGATGCCCAGATCCTGTTGCAAAAATCATCTTCCCTGCACCACCATGCTTGACAGTTGCTATGAGGTGTTTTTGCTGGTATGTTGTGTTTGGTTTTCACCAACATGTGCCACGTGCCACTGTGCATTATGGCAAAACATCTCAAGAAGTCTTGTGCGTTGTTCCTGAGTCAAACCTAGGCCTGCTGCCATGGCAACTCTTCCAACAAGCCATACTAGTTCAATTTTTTTCTAATTGTACTTTCATGAACTTTGACATGTAACACGCTAACTGAAGCCTGTAGAGTTGTAGAGATGTAGCTCTTTAGGTTGATCTTTGCTAATTTGCTAAGGCGTCCAAGTAGCATTGTGTTATAACGCCTGAATGCCCCAGACCAGCAAAGTGCCAAAGCTTCTGCTTTTATAGAGGTGATCAGATTTATGATGATCAATTAATCAGCTGCAAGTCTAATTAACTGATTAATCTAATTGTGATTAACAGTACTTTCTTGCTACTTACCTCCTTGATTTCTATGGAAACAGTAAGGGTGTACATAGATTTTCATAGACTACACGGATATCTTTGAAAACTTTATTTCTCAAATGATGATATATTTAATCATACATACTGTTTAGTACAATCAGTTAATTTGGGGTTTTTATATTTATATAACAAATACTGACATCAGGACTGAATACCTTTGTGCTTACAACTGAAGAGTGGACTGTTTAATAAAAACCTGACTTGTTTTCAGTGTTAAGTAGCAGCTCGGGTTAGCTGGGCTTAGTTAGTCACAGTGTGTTGCAGCAGGAGGGGGTATGTAGTGAAATGTTAAGGTTCTGGCTTGGTTAAGCAGTGTTAATATGTTAGCATTTATCTTATCGCTGAAGCTAGTTAGGAAGCTTTTGCACACAGCACATTTCTTACAGGCTATTTATCTATCAAAGTTTTATGGAACTTACTGAATACAGCCAAAAGTTGCATTTTACTGGAAGACACTTGGATTGCATTTTAGCACTATAAATACTTGTTCTTGTACTTATGAAATCTCTCAGACACATTTAGTTCCAAACATGGCTGAAGTCAGCCAGCACAGATTTAGTGATAATTAGGAAGGCTGTGAAGAAGGATTAGAGCACCAACATAACTAACACAAATATCTTAAATGGCCAAAGTCCCTCTATTGCTGTGACCTAGACGAGTGTGTAGGTGCCAAGCTGGTAAAACTGCAGGGCGCATGTGAGCTGCCAGGCTTTAGGTCAGCCAACACACAGACATTTTCTGTACTTGAGCTTGGCAGGCTTACTCAGCAGCACTGGATTACACCGGACTTCCCTTCTGTCACATTTTTAGCCATTTTGAGTTTTTACATGTTTGTGCTGACTGCGCTTTATAGCTATTCAGAGAGCTAAACACACAATATTAAATGTATTTCAGTTTTCATATTATTTGAGAGCACTGCGCTACATCCTGCTTGGTTCTCTCTTGTAATGATTTATTTTCTTTAACTCAGCGCTACAAGCAGCCCGATGATGAAGGTTAAATGATAGCATCTAAGTTAAGGAACAGCAGTTAAGGACGAGGGATTTAGATGAGGAAAAAAAGAAATCAGGCAGGGAACAATACTCACGAGATCCTGTTTGATGGTCCCAAGATTAATTAGCATGCAAGAAGAGAAGCAAGAAAGAAGAAGAAACGGTTAAGGCACCAGAGAGCACTGAGTCTCAGAGAGGCAAAGAACCGAATCAGAATGAGACAGAGGACGTTTATGTTTCATCTCCATGTGTAAAAACTAATAAAGTAAAGCCATATTAGTGCCGTAGGTTTGCATTTAATTATAGAATCAAACAGCTTTTACGGGATATGTGGTTAAGTGTGACTTTGGGCTCCACAGATGGTGCAACAAGCATCTAATACAAGATGAAAGGCGAAAACACAAAGTGAATGACTTAAAAAAAGGGGTAAAATGACAGTGAAGGAGAGAAACAGTTTGCTGGAAACCGTGGGAGATTCTGCATATTTTAATCAGAAGTTGTGACAGTAGAAATATTCTGCAACTGCAGGTGTTTTTGATAGATAAATTCATCCACTTAAACAAATGGGTGCACACATTTTTATTCAAACGCGCTGACTAATATTCCAGCTCGAATGCACATGCAGCATTGATTTTACGGCCCTCAAAATGGGCGTTTTCAGGTTTTCGTGTAGACTAGTAATATGGACAACAATAAATATGATGATGCATATGAGATGAGAGTGATCAGTCTAAGCATTTCTTTTATTCTTCTTTGAAGAAAAACTTAGCTGCGTTGCCATGCAGCAGTTATTACATTTTAACCAAAAGGAAATGTGAGAATTAACAAAATAGTCACTATGATGGATGCCCACCTTAAGCAAAACGTATAATAGTTTGCAAGTTGATTTTTAAACTTGCTCAAGGGGAAGTCAATGGCAGACTAGAAGATAATAAATCAATTAGAAAATGTTAAGTGTTAAGTATGCCAGTAATGGTCTGTTTCTAGGCAGTTGTATAAAACATTGACATGGTACGTTTACTTTGACCTTTCAAACAGCAGATCTGGCATAATTGTGACTGTGTATGTTTGTGTGCGTGTGTGCACAGGAACTGGACACTCACGCCTGCATGGTTGTTGTAGCAGTTTGAAAGCTGAACATATTTTCCTTGGGGAACCAGTTGGTGTCCTCTGCAATTAGAGAGAAAAATGAGGTTTCCGAGTTTAATAGACAGAGAAAAATAGACCACATTGGCAAATGTCGTAGTAAATTTATTGGAAATATGAAATCACAAAACCAGCACCAGCACTTCACAGTCCACCACTCCACAAATGGAGAGAGGGAGACACAAAGGAAGAGACAGCAGAGGAAAGAGACGGGCAGACAAAGAGTCAAAAATACAGATCACCACGTTACAACATCAAACTCTCGATCCTCTCCAGACCTGAGAAGAAATAGATTTGAAGTAGTAAATATAATATTAGCTCATTTTAATGCAGGCATCCGTTATTTTATTTTATTTATTTTTTTTGTTTCCTTAGACTGATAAACACTGATAGTAATAAGAGCAAAACTCAAGTGTTATTTCTTGTCATTTTATGAAGGGCTTATTTGTTACTTGTTTTATACTCAGGTATTATAAATAAAGTTTATATGGAATCTTAAGTTTTTAAAAAAAGTAATCTAATGGAGAAGATTTTCGTGAAATCTACCAAAGGTGTGTTTTACTAGTGATTTTTTAACCTACATTTGCACTATTTTTCATCGCTATAACATCCTTCATTCACTCATCCATTTTCTTAACTATTCATCAAACCACACACTCAAGCTGGAATCACCAATTAACTTAACAAGCATGTCTTTGGACTTTGGATACAAACCCATGTAGGCACAGGGGGAACATCAAATCTCTACATGAAAGGGAAGACAAGAAGCTTCTTACTGTGAGGCCACAGTGCTAACCGCTGCACCACTGTGCTGTCCTTTAAACATCATGAATTAAAAAGATGAATTTTTGTGGAGAAGTCTCGAGCCAATCCTCATTTTCTTTATATTTTGCTTCCAAGAATTTGTTGTAATTTTTAGAGTGGTCTTGAACAATAGTTCTCTCTTTTTTCAGTCCAGTGCTTATACTTGATCATTTCAGAGGAATGCTTTATTGTTGTTTGTTAAGCCACTTAACATTGATCTATTCATCACCCCAACATTAAAAGGCACATAAGTAATGAACCAGAGCTGCACATAAGAGACAATTTTATTCAGATAACTTTAAATTCAATCTTTTAGGCACTTTATTACAAGAAGCCTGCCCAAAAGACCATGTTAGTTTCCATTTCTTTAGCTGGATCTACAAATAGTATTTTGTACACCGAGACAAGTGTAATTTGTTGAAAATTTGCAGCGTGTCATTGAAAATTTAAGAAACTGGACAAGTGGAGAACATCATAGGCAATAGGAGGCCTAAAAAAAGAAAAGCCCTATCTAAATCAGATCCACAGTATTTTAAAGTCATGGAAACAGGCAGGGGAAAAAAGTTAAAATCAGACAGAAGAGGAGTGTCTACAGCCATCTGCAAAACACGGTGGGGGCTCTGTCATGGTTTGGGGCTTCATTTCAGCCAGTGTTGGAGATCTTATCAAAATTGATGGAATTCTGAAATCCAGTACATTTTTAGCCACAGTGCAATACCATCTGGAAAGCTAATTGGCATTGGCCTCATTGTTCTGCATGACAGTGATCCCAAGCACACTGCCAACACCCTGCAAACTGTATACCTGAATGTCTGGATAGAAAAGCACACAATGAAACACTATCAGTCATGGATTGCCCCCTGGAGCTCAGACCTCAACATTATTGACACACAGTGGGATCATCTTGACAGAGAACGGAACAAAAGGCAGCTGACATCCAAAGAAGAGCTTTGAATGTCTTTCAAGAAGCCTGGAGAACTTTTCCTGAAGACTGCTTAAAGAATTCAAAGAAGGCTTTCCCAAGAGAGTTCAGGTTATGTTGAAGAATAAAGGCGGTCATATCAAGAATTGTACAAACATTGTTGCCTTATATACCATATTGCCATGTATGTTTGCACATGTTTCTATAACTTGTTGCACCAATTTTATATTTTCCCTAGCAAAATATTAAGGAATAAGGAGTGGCTCAAGAGTTTTGCACTGTACTGTAGTTTCTTTTTTTATTATTATTTTTTCTGCTTCTTTGTACTAATAAAGACGCTTTAACTTTCAGCATAAAGTGCCTTGAAGCAACTGTTGTTGTGATTTGGTGCTATACAAATAAAACTGAATTGAATTGAAATGAATGTTTAAGTAGCTATTCTTATTGGTTTATATACAAAACATCATCACTGTTAAAGTTTACTAAAAATGTAAAATATTAATAATTACTATTATTTGCTTCACAGAGAAAATATACTCTTCTATTGATTCTGTTAGTTTGACTTAATTATATACATCGTATGTCAAATTAAAAGTGTATTTAGCAGCTTGGACAGTAAACATAAGAAATAACTACATGAAACTGAAAAAAGATCTAAAAAATCTATTTCATCTCTGGTCCCATACCCATTCCAGCCACAGGGCTTTATGGAGAACCTTACACTACCCTCCCCCCCACTTGTTTGTGCCTTTTGAGCCTCTACCTTCCTTTGTGTCCTGAACCCTCTCACCTCTCTCCAGCCCAGTCATCCGGTCCACACTCCACATCCGCTCTAGGCGTCGGTGCTGCTTGCCTGCCTCTCTCGATGCACTCTCCAGGTCCAGGGAACCCTGGCTTCGAGAGGGAGCAGTACTGCACGACTCACAAGCCAACCCGCTACACTCCGCCTCCCCTTTTCCACCTTCGCCCCAGCTACGAATGTTGTGGGCGCTGACCGAGGTCTGCAGTGGAGGCTGAGACAGGTGATGATGATGGTGGGTGTGGTGGTGTGATGCATGATGAGAGTGAGAGCCTGCAGCGGTTAGCTGCGGCTGCTGGTTGCTACTGCTGCTTCCACTTGCCGCACTACTTCCTCCGCTGCTGGAAGGTGGATTCATGCTCGAGATATTGTGGTGGTGGTGGTTTCCATGATGGTGCATACTATGGTGATGGTTGCTGTGATGGTGGCTGCCACAGCTGCTGGCACCACGGCCACTGCTTGCGCGATGGTACTGGGTTGGAGACGATGAGGCGGAGGAAGGGGAATTGGAAGGCTGGATCGAACCACCCCTAGATCCTACCCCACTGCTCCCCGACTTCTCCTTTAGGACGTCCAGTTCGAGGCTCTCCTTGCTGCCCTGGCCGGCGCTCATCAGCATACCGTGCTGGGTGGTGATGGTGTACACACGTGAAGGCTGCAGTGTACACTCCACACACTTCTGCTGGTCTTCCTCCACTGAGAAGCTGCGTTCAAGGGACAATCGTGCTGGTGCCTTGTTAGAAAGTGTGATAGAAGATGGGGTTGGCTGGAGTAAGCCCAGTGGCTGTGTCACTAGGCTGGTCTCCTGTTTGTCCTCACAGCCCTTAGTTTCGGAGCAGGGATGGAGGTGGTTGTTGTTGTTGGGGCCAAATGTGTCACTTGGCGACTCCGGGTCAGGACCCACCAAGGTTTCACACAGAAGATGAGCTAGAATTTGAAAAACGAAGATGGTTATAAAGACAACTAAAAGTGCTAAAGAATGAGAAATATACCAAGGTGCTAAAGAGCAAGAAAACAGAAAAAGTGGGAAAAAATGACAAGCTGGCACAGTGGATAATCATCTTTCTTTGGTTATCAGCTGTCATCGTGACACACCAATGAGTGCTTCCTGGCATTTCAGCAGAGGATGAGGTGAGAAAAGAACTAAAAGCATAAAGGAATACACACAGGGGAGATAGAGGGATGGACAAATGACAGGATGGCAGAGACGCTGACCTGATCCGTTTCGGTTTTCAGGGTGTGTGTGGGACAGGTACTCTCCAAATGCTCGCGCTGCTCTGTGGGGACACACACACATACGCGACACACATAAAGACATTAAATCATGGGTGGAAAGGAGGTATGAGTGGGAAAGAAGAGAAAGGGGAGAGAGAGGAGAGAAGGGCAAGGGAATTGTAAATTATAATCCTAATTGCCTTCTTTGTAGGCTTGTGCCACCCACAGATTAAGATGGAGCTGTTTTATCTCCTCGCTCCAGGCAACCCCAGCCTGAGGGAGACAGAGTTTGAGACAACAGGAGGAGAGAGAGTGAAGGACTGTTTTAGGGCGACTTAATTTCTCAGTGGGTCCTCAGTTTGCATTGATAGGTGTAATTGCAGACGGCAGACTGTGGATGTGCTGGGATTTTTTTGTTACACTGTGGCTGCACTTACTATATCTGTGAATACTTGACCTTGACAGCAACAGACGAAGATTGTTAATGTGCTGGTAGAAGCAAAAATAGATGCTAACAGGTTCATCTTTTACTCACAACTCTTTGCAGGTTACAACACTCTACAGATACCCATTTAGCCACATATAGCAAAAATTAAATACCAAGGAGGGCTTCCCTTTAAAAATAATAGTCCCAGATCTCACGGTTGATTGACACTGACCTGCTAATGTTCCTCTAGTGATTCTGTGTAACGGAAAAGGGATGAGAGAGACAAAGATGTTCTTTCAGTGTCAGTATAGGTACTCTGGAGAAATGTACTGCAGTGATAACTACAAGGAATGACAGAGGAGAGGACATGAGAAGTGAGTTAAAGACTGTATGCTTACAATGAGTTACTGTGTAAGAAGAAAATACCACTGTAGTAGTTTTTACTATACGAGCAAACCACCGGCTAAGCTCTTGAAATATGCTGTTTATAGTTTCAGCTTTCCAACAGCAAGCCTGATGAAAAAGACACCACCTACTGCTCTATTAAGGGATCTATAATTCAGCCCATTTAAGTGCTTAATGTTTTTAATGTATTGATTTTACTTGAACACTGTCAGCTGACTGTATGCAGACTTTAAATGCGGAGTTTATCTCTAAAATGGAAGCATTATGCATATTATATTCTACTTTTTAAATAATAATCTGATGTGTTCACAATATCAATATCAGTTATACCATCATACTAGTTACTTATACTAGCACTAATTGAACAATGCAGCCCAAATGCTCCTAGTGGTTATGCTTTCCCAATACAGCTAACTGCTGACGTATCTGTCAATATCTGTGAAGAATTCCTTGTATGCAGGAGAATCTGTGGGTGTACACCTCCACCCGGCACCACCGTCAATTATTAAAGCCTGTCCAGCACAGTAAGCATACACACACATACACAAACTGACTCACACAATCTCCATCACAGAAAGAGCCGGAGTGCAGTGAAAACACTTCTCTCACACGGTTTCTTATTGAGACACAGCTCTGTATTCTTAGTGCACTCTGTGCTCTTTCACTCCTTTAACCCTCAAGGCTCCTCTTGAGACAATGCACAAAAACAAACCTGTCTGACAAACCTGACTTTTCCATTTAATGATAAAACCTGACCTGTTTATAGCTGTTCTATATAGGCATATTCTAGGGCCTGCCATACGTGCCATACTGAAATGTAAGCAATGTAAGTGAAATAACTTGCAGTCCAGTAAGAGAAGTTAATATTCCTGTACATATTCTCACCTCTAGATATCTGTAAACCTTAAAAACTATAAAACAATTTTGTCCTTAAGTTTGACCCGAGCATAGAACCATATAATTGTGATAATATGTGTTCTGATCCACATCCCTTCAGCCTCCTTCCATTGCTGTGATGTGCAAAAACTGGAATAAATAAAGAAATAGAAAGCGTGGTTGTACAAATTAATGCACATTTTCCACATACAGTGGGTTTTGATAGTACTCTATTATATTGCTAATAGAACAGTGCAAAAGAAGAAGATTGTGTTATTAAATGGCCAAACTTCACATGATAGAAGGGAAATACAACATTTGTGTTCATTACCTCATTACTCATTGATCAGCACAAGATTGGGAGCCTCAATTAAAAAACTGGGAGCAGAAAACAACATATAATCCCATCTTTAACCAAAGTGACATAAGTGATCTTCCTAATGGTTATGTTTAACCCAATCCCCTGTACTGGGATATTGTCTTTCAAATAGATCACTTATCTCCTTGGTCCTTGGGTGCTATGAACTAAATCCTCTTCTGTGCTGGTAACATATAAGAAAAACAGACATGTTTTAATGCTGAGCATCTTTTTTGAACCAAATGTAAGTAGTACACTATTTGGAATTGCATAGGTTTCTGAGTGTTAATCTGAGAAAATGTTTAAATATATTATATCATCATTATTTCATATATTTATCTTATGATATAAGAATATTGGAGGCAGCCCCTACTAATGTGACATTCAGTCACTAAAGGTGAGCATGGACCAAAAGTAAATGTAAGAAATTTAATTGAAGTTAATTCAATTCAATTTAATTCAACATCAAAGTACTTTATACTGTTTAGGTCTAACAATTAGACAACCCTCTAAGAGCAAGCACTTGGTGACAGTGGGAAGGAAAAACTCCCCTTCAACAGGAACAAAACTCGGGCTTCCACACACTGTGGAAGAGAGTCAGAGATTAATAATAACTAACAATTAAAAAAAAAAAAAATCAGTTCAGTTTTATTTATATAATGTCAAATCACAACAGTTGCCTCAAGGTGTTGTATATTGTAAGGTAAAGACCCTACAATAATACAAAGACAACAGAGAAAAGCCCAACAATCATATGACCCCCTATGAGCAAGCACTTTGGCGACAGTGGGAAAGAAAAACTTCCTTTTAACAGGAAGAAACCTCCAGCAGAACCAGGCTCGGGGATGGTGAGGGGGGGAAGACAGGACTAGGTCATGCTGTGGAAGAGAGCCAGAGATGAATAATAACTTGTTTTAATTTAATGCAGAGTGGCATATAAACACACAGAGACTGAAAAGAGTTAAGTGAAGAAGAAACAGTCAGTGCATCATGGGTAACCTCCAGCAGCCTAGGCCTATTGCAGCATAACTGAGGGCTGTCTCAGGGTCAGGTAATTTATATGATAAGAGTTTGCAGATGCTGTAGTGCTGATCTTTATCTCAATTAAATTCACACTAGATGTTTTTGTATTGGTCACTGCTAAATAATTTTGAAGCGTGAACTTTTTATCAGCTTGATGAGGGCTCAGTAGTATGTGTATGCCTCTGACCCAGGCCTTTCCTCGCTGGGGATTTGGAGAAAGGTGGTGCGGTTGTTAGCACTGTATTTGAATCCAGCTGTTTGTAGTTTCCGTGTTCTCCCTGTGCCACGTGCCTGTCTGCACTATGACAGCTGGGATAAGCTCTAGCACAAACCAAAACCCTGAATTGCATAAATGGAAGAAATGATGAATGGATGGATGAACAGACCTCAGTTCAACAAGTTTTTACTGCAAAACAAAACCTCACACAGAACAAATTAACCGGTAATTTCAAATGTTTCTTCTGTGACCGCAGAGTCTTTTGGCTTCTACACTGTTTACTGTCAATGGTTAAAACTGCAGCTAATGTAAACCAAACCTTTGAGAGTTTGGGGGTGTTGTTGAGGATTAAGGCTCTGCACGTGCTGTGTCACCAACCAGCTCCTTTCACTACATTTCTAAAAATAGCTCACCATGCCGCTGCAGTTCTGCTACAGCAACTTCTTCTCAGAAACCCCCGACTTCTTCAGTTGTAATGGGCATAAAGCTGCGTGTGCATGTGCTTGCATACGGACATGTGAGTCTAATGGTACTTAAGGGCATTAAGAAAAAGAAATGTTTTAGTTTGTGTGTGCCTGCAGTAACAGCAATCACAATTAAGGACACTTGTGATAAATGTAGTCTATACTTTAATCAGCAGGTGTCCCTCAGAACCTCTGATACATTTTCATTTGGCCCACCTGTTTTATAATTCAACAGGCTGGGCACTCTGATTAGAATCAGCAAACAATGGTGCAAGAGGCACGCATCATCCATTATACATGAGAGGAAACAGAGCTGGAAATGGATAGAGCAGAACGTCTCTCAATCATCCACTACACAAAACCTTTCTCTGTACAGTGCCGTCTTATATTCACATTTTTGCACCAGCTTCATATGTGATACGTGAGCACAGCATGGGGGCAGTGAGGTAGCAACTGATAAATAGTCTCCGGCGAAAAATGATGAAGGGAAGGGAAAGGAAGAGCTTGACAGTTAGATATGAAATTCGTCCTGCATGCTCTCAGCCATGTGACCGGGTTTTGGGGAAAGAGACAAGTTAGGGAGGGGAGATTCTGAGGAGCAGGGAAGTGATTACAGCTGAGAGGAAGAGCAGTGTAGAAAAATTTGACCATATTAAAAATGAAAGAAGACTAAACCTGAGGAAAGACAGGTGGATAGAAAGACAGGACTGTGAGAGACTGAAAGATGAAAAAGGATGGCAGACTCAGTTTGAAGGTGCAGCCACAAAACTAAACATCTTTTGTGTGATTTCATTTCTTAAGGGGCAGCTTAAGTATGCAATGAAATAAAGTAGCAAGGATGGCACGGGTTCAATCCAATGTCCTGGACTGACTCCAATCAGGTTAATTTGTCTGACAGTGATGGACTGCTTGAGGTGACATTAAACCCAAGAGGTCGAGTAGAAATTTGTGCCTGGCAAGGCAATGTTTGTGAATTGGCCCATTATATCAGTTTTGCAGGACATATTATATATTATTAGGAAACTAAATGTTTCATTTGGCAGTTCATTTGTTTTTAATTCTAGGTGTCCTTCCTGGTTTATTTTGCCTCTGAGTGGAAATGAACCAGCAACTTTTGGTTTGCCAAAACATGTAAACCATATGCTATCTAATATATGTCCACATAACTATGCATTTACAAAACATGATTCAGAAAATGAGGCTTGATTTAAAAATGGTGCCATCACATTTCACTGTCAGTGCTCTCTGGAGCACATGTAGCAGAGTATGCATCACAGCTCCATACTAAGCAT